GGGAAAAAAGTCAACTTGCAAGGAAAAAACTACTTTGAGATGGTTTAAATGCAATTTTTTATCCATCTTCCCAAAGGACCTGCTCATTATATGTTACTATTTTAGAACTATTAGAAGATAGTTTATATGAAGACCTGAGATCTTAAATTCCATCTTATTAATAAATTATACCTTTAAAATAATGGACTTAGGGAATGATAACTCTATGCTTTCTCTAAGGATTTGAAATCATATTCTTCTTAGTAATATATATTTTAAAAGAGTTTAAGTAAGGAAGTTGGTCTTTTTGTCTCAATATCAGATCAGTGACTATATTCAAAATCACTTTTCTTACCCTCTTTTTCATGAATTTTTTTTTTTTATTTTTACTGTGTTTCCCAAATAAGAAACTGTTAATGGATTTATGATAAATATTAATTCTTCTTCCTTCCCAGCTATATGTTAAGATAATATATGACCTTTGGACAGTATGTCAATTATATACCTATGTAAGTACAGATAGGTTGTAACATAATCACTTAATTTTACAAACAAAATAATTCTCAAAAATATTTTGAATTTATCTTTTCTGAAAAATATAATTTTCAAGTCTTTTGAACTGGATCTTTAACGTATTTTTGTTACAAAATTTATATTTTTGTGAACTTTCAAAGCACACACACGTATATAAAAAAAACATCATTAAGGGAAGAATTTTGGGAATAACCTTACCTACATACAGAAAATGTTTTACCCAGTGGTACGCACTCTATTATATTTCAGTCTTTGAAAAAGTGTTGGGCCTCAGCCTCTGTAAATCTGTGGATATTAGGAGTTCTGGAATCAATTCCTAGTTTTTCTACCAACTAGTGCCTAATGGTTTCCTTCTCTGAGGCTCTGTTTTTTATTCGTAAGTGTAATTGGACCAGATTACTGGATGGCAAACTTTATTTTAAAAACAAGGTCTAATTCAAGAAAAAAAAAGTCTTTAAATTACATACTGCCACTTATCATGGGACTGGTCTTATCCTTTAAAGAAAATGTAAATTCTCTAACAAGTTTCTAAGTTTATCAAAGAGAAAAGTTTCAATACAAAATTATCTTTTAAAGCCAAGAAACATCTGAGTATTTGGAAAGTAAAACACACATAGCTTTATAATTTTTATCATAAGATTTAACCAAGAATTAACTGGGCTGTATGTGGTTTTGCGATTTGGAAATAGTCATGAGAATTGATCAGTTATAAAGAAATTTTCAGTTCAAAGTGTCTGCATTACTTGATTTTGTAGAGCAAAATTTTCCTCTTTTCAAGAGATACTGTTTAGAGTTTGTTTTGAAATAAAAATGTACACTTGTCAATCAGTTCTATAATCCATTTTTAAAAAAGTACATGCAACTTAATTGTGAGAATTTATTCATGTGAAATTGAAATTTGGGGGCACATTTAGTACCCTTGAATTATTAATGCTATCATTTATTTTTTATTCAGAAAAAATTTAGCCACAGCAAATCTAAACTTAATTTTATAGGTATTTCTCACTGATTGTGTCTCAAAAAAACCCACATTAATATACATAATAATATGTATATTATATACATATAACATGAATGTGAACATGAGAATGTTTTCACATGAATCAAAAACTTGGCTTATGACTCAGCATTCATATAACCTAATATACACATCGTGCCCTCCTGAAATAAAGCAGCGAGTGGATTTCTAACAGAAATGGTCTGTAGGAGTCCCTGTTTGTTTCCTTCAGACTCTGAAACCTCATTAGGAACTTTTTTTTTTTTTAACTTTATTCTCCCTAGTCGGTATAACGGAACCTGTTCAAAGGAAACATCTAAAGGCTAAGAATTTTCTGTCTCCTCTGGGAGCTTGCAATCTGCCAGTATTAGTGAGGGTGATGAAAGAGGAATACCAAAAGTTTAGAGCAAAGATAAATGAAGGATTGTTGCTTGGCTTTTTTCTGTGAAGCTGGAGAAGTTGGCCTTGGAACCAAATTTATATAACTCATGCCCCACTAATATTACTTTTGGACTATCTAATTGTTTGTGGTAATTATCCAGCTGCCTTTTCCTATATGGTAGCTAACATTAGAAAAGTAAACAATTACCAAAACAATCTCAGCTTCCAAGGGTTCAGTCGCTTTTGCTATTGTCACTGGGGGTGAGGCTGCAATCTGTGCCTTCCTTTTGGCCTTCTGTGTCTGAAGATTGGTAAAGTAGTTGACAGCTGCGAACTCAATAAGAGCAGAGAAGACAAAAGCAAAGCAAACAGCTATAAACCAATCCATGGCGGTCGCATAAGACACTTTTGGCAAGGAGTGCCTGGCACTGATGCTTAGAGTGGTCATGGTTAAGACAGTGGTGATCCCTAGAAAGAAACAGAATGAGAAACGCACTATTAGCATTTGCAATCCAATAGCAAGATCAAATGGGAACATGCTGGTGGAGAGGACTTTTGTTACAAATGTATTTTTTGTTATTATTTTATTATTTTTAATTGTTCACAGTTATCATAGGCATTCACATTTTGGTTTCCTTCAAAACCTAGTGTGGTGATGTGTATTATTAATAATAATATATTATAATATAATAGCAAATTATTACATAACTAATAAAACTTTGAACTTCTGATCAGATTTAATGCTGATATAATCTTTCATCATATTTAATAATTCTATTTGGTGTGAATAATAAATATAAATTAGATTTCTCAAATTTTTTTATTTCTAGCTTGGTTTTAAGATAAAATATCTAATTGTGAGAAAATAATTTCATTACTCATCTGCCAGCAGTTTTCTGTCTTGGAGGATTTATATAATTCAAAGATGGTAAACATCATTTTATAAATATTCTTTTATAACTTGCAAAAAGAGATCTATTTTAGTATGGTAAATTAAAAAGTCAAAATTCTTCTGAGATTTCAATTAAACTCAGGTCTTCCCTATGAACTACTAAATTTGTAATCACAAAAACTGAGAAAAATATTGGATTTTGTTACAGATGATATTTTTCTGTTATAGCTCTTTTTCTTATTTCATTTTGTTCCATCACACTAGTAGTGATTCTATACATCATAAATGTAACTAAATATTTAGGTTGAGCAATGGGGAAACTGGTGATATTTATCTATTTTTAGACCTAAAAAAGGGCAATTTTTTTTAAGATCCAACCTAATAAAAGTGAGATATAATTTATGTATTTATGGGTTCAATATCTTAGCCTTTGTTTTCATTGCTTTACATGTCAGTTTTTAATTTTCTGCTTTCTTTTTTTAGTTATGAAAAAGCAAATTGAGTTTAAAAAACAAAACAAACCAACAAAAAAACAACTCTCCTAAATAGGGCACGTCAAAGTCACAGGAAACCAGCCAGAATTCTTGCTGAGACTAATCTTTTGTTGATTCGCCACACAACGTGAGATAAGATGAGGGTAATTTTATATGATACATGTGTCTGAATGAGATAGGAGTTTATTTCCTTTGTGGGTTGAAAAAGTGCACTGGTGTGAATATTCCCCTAAGATACACAAGCAATGTGAGCTGGAGGATGACAGAAAGTAGAGCCCAAAGAGTGAAGCATACCAAAGACAGTTCTGGCCGGAACAGACTCCTTATTAATCCAGAAGGACACCTGGGAAAGAATGACCGTCATAATGCAAGGAGTATAGATCTGTATCATAAAATAGCCCATCTTCCTTTGCAAGTGGAAATAAACTGTCATTATTACGTATTCACCTGTTGGAAGACAGGTATATCAGGATTATTGCTGTTGACAGTGTGCAGAAAGAATGCAACTGGAAATAAATCTTGCAGATCTTTAAATTAATATGGGTGGGAAGAAAACAAGCAAAGGCATTTTTTCGATGTATGACAAAGCTACTCAATCAGCAGATGATAGATACATCAGCTCATTGTTTTCTGTGGGGTTCTTTGTGTCATATACATGCAAAACCACTCACTCCAAGGCTACACAAATCTTTATATGCACATGGTTGCGAAATCAATTTTATAGAAAGCTACTTATCACTTTAAAACAACAAGTTTAACTGAGGATGGATAATGCAGAAGAAAAAGAAATAGATATTTTGAAAATGTGCACTGGAGTCACCATGCAGGATTACATCCATGCATTGGTCAAATGCTTACCTGTGTTAGATTTAATTGTCTCACTAGATACTGTTTGTCCAATCAGATCATACTGAAGGAGGCTTGAAGATTCTTCTGGGACTTCCACTGAGTAAAGTGGTCCTTTTTTCCATGTATATATGATTTCACTTTTGGGGTAAGCATCTGAATTTTTTAAACAAATTAAACAGAGAAGTAAATCTGGCTAATTCTGTGTTTTTTTTTTCTTTCAAATCAAATCTTGTTCATTATAAAAAGGAAGTACAAACAAATTTTTTAAATGATTTTCTTTAATCCTGGTGACCAAAACCTCTGACTGTATGATTGAGAGAGACATGATTAAGTAAGTTAATTCCTGGAATCATACTGAGAACGTCAGAGTAATATTTCTCTTTTGCTTTCCAGTGTCTGACTAAAACCAAATAGTTATGTATTTTGAATGCATTATTTGACTCTCAGAAGCTTTTTGTAACTTACAACTCCCAAACTTGAGTGGACAAGCATGCCCATCCATAGGAAAGTTAACCAGCCTCATAGGACAGTCAGCGTTGATAGTAAGCCTAAGGAACATTGAAATAAGTGGTCTGAGTTAGTATGATGGACAAATAATTTGGGCAGAGGAAGTAGAATTGGGGAAACCTCACCTCATGGTGTATAGAATTGTTCCATTCTGCATTATTCTGAAGAGTTTGTTAGGAGTTGTCATATTGTGAGCAATTGATTTTTTGCCATTCCTGAAAAAAGTGTCAGGTGTCCAGATTTTACTGACCATCAGGTTATTCAAACTCAGAATCTCAGCTGGCCCCCCAAACTTCAACCTCTCATCGGTCCAAGTCTGGCGGAAGAAAACGTCCATTGTATACTCCTAAGGCAAAATAAGAGATTCATGCATGCTGGGCAGATGGCTTATTAAGAATAGTTTACTAACTAGCTTACATACCCAATCTTAAAACTTAAGAAACGAAGCAACTTTTTATGACAATAGCCTATCAGGAAAGTGATAATTTCAGTGAATTATTATGTTTTCACACTCTAAGATTGAAATATTATTATAAAAGATAGTGTTGTATTGTGCAAACCTCTCTCTTCCACTTTCACCCTCCTTAACATTCTCCCTCTTTTTCTATCAGTCATCCATCTCTTCATCTATTGACCTACTGAGTTCCCCCTCCTTAATTTAGAAGAAAAATAGAAAAAGATTTAGTCTAGGTTTTATGCTGACCTTCCTACCATCAGTGAGTCTAACCAGTCCCTTAGCAGCTTGTTCATCTTCAAAGGTATCTCCGAGCAACATGGTACCACTTAGTAAAGTTCCAAGGATAGAGAAACTTTACTTGATAAGCATACTCTTGTCTGCACATCATGATTGTTTTATACTGTTCTCAGAGAACATAAAAGCAAATGTTACCATGATTACCCAAACAGAGCATCATTTAAGCATGCATAATCAAAATTATGAGTTTTAATTTGTGGCTTTTATGAAATAACATTTAAAATCTTAAGAATTATGATAAGGGCCTTTGCAAAAGTCAATGATAAGTAACAACTTATAATTATGTCAAAATATTGCCAAGAATTGCTTTGCCTACTTTTTATGTTCCTTTATGAGACCTATTACTGCAAGTGGTGATTATATTTTAAAACTATAATTTGACACACAATATATCCATATAATGATGATCCAGGCTATAACAAGCCTCTCTTGTACAAATATAAGATGTGTGTCTTAAAAAAGAGGCACATGCATAAAATAAATTCTAAGTGTCCCCAGATTTCAATGGTACCATAGAATATGGTTGTGGTTATTTATTCTTGGGGTGAGTCAGTACTCAAAGGAAAAAATAGGATAGTTAAATAATTGAGAATACTGGAGAATGCTGACTCTAATTTCTCTCAAGTCTTAAGACATTTATCTCTTAAATAAAATATTCCTCACTCTCTCCCCCTCTTCTGTGTTGTTTTTTCTTACTTCTCTTCTCCTGCCCCCTCTTTCTCTTTCTCTTTTACTCCTTCCTTTTTCCCTTTTTTTTATTCCTCCTCCTTTCCTTTCTCCTTGTCAACTCAAAAAGCAGAAGATGAAAGTATCTAATAACTGTTTATCTAGAATTGCATTCCCCTAGTACATTTAATGCACCACTTTAAAGAGTTATGTTTTTCTTCAGTTTTAGTATTTATATTTTACTTTTAGGGGGACATACTACCTGAGAAATATGAAGGAATATCATAATATACTTTGTTCTAGAAGGCTGGTTCAGGTTTTCATTGCCGCTTACTATAAATAATACCCTCTTATGAATCCTATAGCCATCTGTACCTGGAACAGAGTCCCCAGAACACCTGTTGGTCCATTTGCAAACATAAAAGGTGGAATGCATTACTCTTTCCAAAGGACTCCCTTTACTGTTTTCATAACACATACCGAGAAAGATGCACTGCCAAAACAGCTATGTTTTAAATTTAATAGACATTCTCAATATACACTTATGTAGCATACTATCTTTGCTGGTTTATCTTTTTTCTCCTCCAAAAATTTACTAGGTCTTCATAAAGATGGGGAAAAATCTTCTCTTTGTAGGGAAGAATAGATGCATGATATGTGAACAGAAGAGAGGATATCACCATAAAAGGCCCCTCAGATTAGTATTCAAGCAGAGCCTTTAGTGAAATGTGAAAGAGATTAAGCCAGGAATCTGCTCTAATGGCCATTCCTTCCCAGCAGGAGCACACATATTGCTTTTGGATCTGGAGCCAAGTTTGGTAGCAATGCCCCTTATCATTCATTCTGGGATTCAGCCCTCTCCCTCCACTAAGCAGAATTACTCTCCTCACTCAGAGCTCACTCACCATCTCCACATCTGACACGGGCCCAAAACTTGTTACGTAAATGTCTGTTTTGACTTCAGTGACAGCACCTGAAATGAGCCCAGAGGGATGGGGGCAATTATCATCAATGATGTTAAGGGGACTGAACTGAGCAACTCTATCACAAAGCCCCTTCTCATGGCCAGAATCTGCAACCCATCCTAAAGTAATTCCAGCAACAGGAGTCCTTTGGATTTTCAACTTTACAAACTCACACCAGTTGCATTATTTTGAATTTATTCTGGCAAAATGGTGAAATTTAAGGAATGGACGAGAACTAGGTTAGTATTCTAAAGAAAATTACAACAATAATTAATGTTTAGTGATAGCATTAATGGGACAAATGCTAAAGAAAGTGTTTTATATGGCGAATCTCATTTTACACTCAAACGCCCTATGCGGCAAGCACTGTTCATACACCCACCCTACATTTGAGAAAGCTGAGGCTTAGAGAGTTCAAATGACTGGCATATAAGGTTGCGAATTGAGGAAGGGACAGAGACTGGATGGGAACATACACATGGTCCCTCCCCAAGCCCTGCAACCTGCCACTCTGCTATCCTGAGGCCTCTGTACCTTGGAATGGCACTAAGGGGGAAGAAAAGTACAGACGTTTGGTCTAGTAAGGATGCCTCTCACCTCCAAATCCCGGTCGCAGCCGATTGTCATAGCCTTCAAGCAAGTTGTCCAGGATCCGACTGATGTTTCTGGAGTAGACGTTTCCTTCATCTTCCAGTTTCCCTAGGGCATTTTCTACCCTGTGAGTAGACAGTCAATGACCCTCACTCCTGACCTCAGAGGAAATAGGCTGTTCATTCCAGCCTCGTCTACCCCGGCACACATACATGCCACACCACCCAGGCTGCTTCCATGATTTGGTATAGAAGTCACCCAGTTGGGTGTGTGCTTGCCCTTTTCTCCGAGCAAAAAGGAAAATCGGAAAACAGTCTTACTCACCATAGAACAATGTAGAGCCAGGGCAGAGGCGATGCCATCCTGCAGTGCACTGAAATGCCCAGTTCTCCCTCCTCCTGGGTTCCCCTCCTCCCAGCCAGCTCCCCTTTGCCAATTAACTAGAGCAATCTCCCGGACCACTCATAGCCCTTCTTGTTTGTGTCTGGCCAGTAATGCAGTAGGTGAGAAGGTTGCCAGCTAAACTTGCAGGGTTCCCCTTGCTCTCTTCACTCTTTGTTCCGTCTTTTCACGTGGAACAAGGTGGTTTGCGCTCTTAGAGTACGTCCTAATGGACACTTAGCCTCCTCTGACTGACTTAGTTGGGAAATGAGAGTCTGAAGGGACAGTGCATGGTCAGAGAGCAGTGACAATAATCGAATAAGGCATAAGGGGAGATCAGATGGGAGAAATCCACTGCTAGTTTTGGCATGGACTTCGCAGGGCCCTGTGAGGAAATCTGGAAGGCAGTGGCATCTTGCTGATTGAGATTATGTTCCAACGGGCTCAGCATTTATTATTTCCGTGGTTCACAGAAGGATTTCTACATGGCTCTCACTGCTTAAAATGTCTAACAGTATTGGGATCCTCTCAGATTCTCTTTCTGATTTCACCAGGTTTAGTGCATCAGATGCCCCTTTCCTCTCTATTTAAAAATTGGTCCTCATTCTTCTTTGGAAAAAGCATTTATAAGACACCAGAATTACATTCCCACAGCTCTTGACCATCTTGCTGTTGGATTAGCATTTTTTTAAAGTGTTGAGTACTTCGCTGATCCTTCTTGTCAAAGGTGTGGCATCTCAAGCTAAGACACAAAGTTCTACTACTATCTTTAGAAACCTGGCCGGTTTCATGAATGCTGCCTATAAGAGACAGTGTCTGGAAATAGCTTATTAAGGTTCCCATGTAGCAATGCTGTAAGAATAAAGCATCCATAGATAATGGTTAATGATGATGTTGCTGGCACTATTTTATTAGGCTTGCCACAGGTCAAAAGCAAAATGTTTGAACCCAAGAAATAGCATTCTCTGCCCAGTCTGGTAAGGGAAAGTTGGAGTAAAAAGAAGTCTCTTTAAACCTTAAAATTGTAATCTTTAAAAACATAAAATTAATAAAGTATTGTGAATATATATATTTAATTCAGGAGCATAAGAGCAAGAAGCAAATGTCTTCTTCAGCATCTCCCGGCCCACTATCTACCTAGTTCACAGTCTGTATTTTTAGATTCTACAAAAGTGATGGTAACTTGATGCCATACAGCACAGTCTTAAGAGTTATTTCTGAAGACCTGACGTAAGTCATTTGAGAAACATCAAGAAATTAGCTATAAACAAAACAACAACAGCAACAACAGTGAAAACAGAACAAGTGCAAGATTTCTTATAAAATATTTTTTTTAAGATTACCTAATCTTAGTTACATGGAATTTTCTGGTCACTCATCGAAAACCTGAATTCCCTCCAGCATTCCTGGCAAGTGGTATTCAGCGTGTGATTTCTCACATTGTTTTACTTGTGCTGAGTTGAAGCCTGCACCCAGGTCCCAGTTCTCACATTTGAAGCTACACAAAATAATTTTTCAGGGAAAAACTACATGACAGCCACATAAACGAAGATACCTATCATGTCCTCTCTAATTTAAGCTAAGACTCCTAAAATCTTTTTTTGTTCATTATAGAACCTGGTTTTCATCTCTCATTCTTTTCCCTCTACTTTAAAGTTCCTACAACTAATCACCACAACATATTTTCAATTCCCATTGATTGTACTAAAACCCTAAATATATGATGCTATTAAATAATTCTCTATTCATTTTTACTACAACTTATCATTTTTATTCATCATAGGACTCCAAAATATGGCTAAATAATCCCTGCAACTTTGTATCATTTTTTTCAATCATTATGTTTACTATCCATCTCTTATTTGTATCATCCTCAAACTTAGGTTTCTAAGACTGAATATTTTTTCATATGGTAAAAAAATGATCATGGTAAAAAAAAATGATCATGGGTAAAAAAAATGCAGTATGTGCATTTATATACATATTCCTATAGAATAAGCATGTTTTTCTCCTGAAAATTATTTATCCAAAAAAGGAACAAATGATAGTTGTTACATTTGTCTCTAAAGAGAAGATTAACACACTTGAGTCTATTTTCAGATGGGTTTTAATTAGTAGTTTAATGAAAGAGAAGGAATACCTTTACTACTCTCAGTAGGAAGAAAAAAAAAAAAAAGTCCTAGGTCTGGAAGAAGAATAGGGGCATGTAATCTAAGTCATTTCACCTCTGTGGACTTTACCTGTAAATGAATGTGCTGGACCTAAGGTACTCAAGCTCTCTAATTCTCTGCATTCAATTTATACGTTGGTGTCTGTACGTAATGAAGTCACTTGTTCACACATCCCTGTCAGAATTGGCAGACAAGCTCTAGTAGCAACATTGTTGATTTGACTGCAGTTATTATTTTCCTACGGAACTAGCCATAAAAGAGAGAGTTCAAAAACATGACAATGGCTATGACTCTGAGAAATGTATGGCCATTTATGTAGCATACTGTCTATGCAAAGCAAGCATTCGGGAGCCCCCCCCTATTTAGAGAATTACCTTCTTCTGGTAAATTAGAGAACATTTATCTCATACCTGTCTACTTCACAGCTGTTTTTCCTAAATATGTTTTTAAATTATCTTGGACAACCACTTTTTTGCTTTGCTGTTTATCTCCACTGGAAAGCCTAGAACTACTATCCTCCCCAACAATATGCTGGGCTTAGCAGAAGGACGAAGTGAAAACAATGTCTCCCTTCTTTGTCCTAAACTTTGAACTCCTTGTACCAACACCTACAACACAGGTTTGTGTGTGTGAAATTAAAGACTCGAAGATGACTGGAGGAGGTCATTGCATAGAAAAAATAAACTTGGCACCAGACAATAAATAGTACTTTCTATGATACAAAAGAACAAATACACACATTTATGCATTTATACATTAAGTATAGAACAAAAAACCAAAACCTTCAGGATAGGTATGGAATTGCCTCTTGTACAGCACAAGGTTGTGTCTTCTCACAGCAAATCTCCACCGGGCTTTAAAACACAGTGTTAGAACTGACCCTCAAGAAACCAGTAGCTGTTGTTTTGTCAAATCATAACTTCAATCAAGTAACTTTATTATTTGTTCTTAAATATATGAGGAGCTTGAACCAAAGGATTCCGGTATTTGTATGATTACTTCCCACCTAATACTGGAGGACTTGACACACTTTCGCTGTTTGTCTTAGAAACTGTTATGGAAAGCAAGTCAGTCAATACATGCAATTTAAGACTGTGTCAGTGGAAATTAACACAGTATTAATAATAGATATTTTATTTAAATATTTATTTATATAATATTTAACATTTACCATGTACCAAGAATTATGTTAAGAATTCTGCATACTCCAACTTATTCACTGCTAACACAAAAATCTATGAGTTGCCTATAATTGAGTCTATTTTGTAGGTCATTAAGTCTGTAACTTGCCTAATCTCACACAGCTAGTAAGTGACAGAATTAGAATGGAAAACCAGATTATTCTAACTCAAAACCAACTAGGTACAAACTAAGGCCAGTGGGAAGAAGCCAATGAAAAATATGTTTCAGTTCTTTAAAGGAATAATTTCTGTCATACTTATTCAAAGATGGAATGGACTATCATAGAAGAAAATGAATTATTTTTATTAACAAAAGTATTCAAGTATGGCCTGGAAACACCATGAGTGGGTTTCATGAATGTATGTTTCAGGAGGAAATTTCATGATCCCTAAGAACATTCAGCAGAAGATTGAGGTTATTTTAGGGACATCCTAAAGACGAACTGTTTGATAGAGAGCTTGAGTGAATATTTGGGTTCAAAGACTCAACTATGGAATTTTTCTGGAGTGATGTGAGAAGGAGAATTTAAAGAGGTTCTTGGTGGTAAAATGTACTTTGGAGGTACATTGGAGGAGAAAAATGGAGAGGTCCTACTAAGTTGTATTAAAGGAGGAAGTAAAAGTGGTAGATTATATAATAATGGTTAATATTTATTGAACACTTACTAGATGTCAATCATATACGTTGATATTATCTCTAATCTGGGTAACTGCCTTATAAAGTAGCCATTTCTAGCATCATGGCGCAAAAGGGTAAAATGAAGCTTACAAACGTATGTAACAGCCTAATGTCCCAGAGCTAGAAAGTATCTCAGTTCCAAAGTACATGCTCTTATACACTGTGCTTTATATATGACAGATCTGACATCGTTTTCTTTTTTTTTAACTGAAATATCGTTGATTTACAATGTTGTGTTAGTTTCAGGTGTACAGAAAAATGATTCAGTTATACACACACATACATATATATATGTTCTTTATTAGATTCTTTTCCATTATAATTTATTACAAGATATTGAATATAGTTCTCCGTGCTATACAGTAGGACCTTGTTGTTTATCTATTTCATATATAATAGCTTGTATATGTTAGTCCCAAACTCCTAATTTATCCTTACCCCCCCTTTTTTTTTAACATCTTTATTGGAGTATAATTGCTTTACAATGGTGTGTTAGTTTCTGCTTTATAACAAAGTGAATCAGCTATACATATACTTATATCCCCTTATCTCTTCCCACTTGCATCCCCCTCCCTCTCACCCTCCCTATCCCACCCCTCTAGGTGGTCACAAAGCACCGAGCTGATCTCCCTGTGCTATATGGCTGCTTCCCACTAGCTATCGGTTTTACATTTGGTATTCCCCTTTGCTAACCATAAGTTTGTTTTTTTTTATGTCTGTGAGTCTGTTTCTGTTTTGTGAAAGTCGATTTGTACCATTTTTTTAGATTCCACAGTTAAGTGATATCGTATGGTACTTGTCTTTCTCTGTCTGACTTACTTCACTTAGTATGATAATCTCTAGGTCCATCCATGTTGATGCAAATGGCATTATTTCATTCATTTCTATGAGTAATATTCCACTGTATATATATTTACCACATCTTCTTTATGCATTCATTTGTTGATGGGCATTTAGGTTGTTTCCATGTCTTGGCTATTGTAAATTGTGCTGCTGTGAACATTGGGGAGCATGTATCTTTTTGAATTAGAGTTTTCTCTGGTTATATGCCCAGGAGTGGGATTGCTGGGTCATATAGTAATTCTATTTTTAGTTTTTTTTTTTTTTTTTTTTTGCTTTATGCGGGCCTCCCACCGCTGCGGCCTCTCCCGTTGCGGAGCACAGGCTCCGGATGCACAGGCTCAGCGGCCATGGCTCACAGGCCCAGCCGCTCCGCGGCATGTGGGATCTTTCCGCACCGGGGCACGAACCCGCGTCCCCTGCATCGTCAGTCAGACTCCCAACCACTGCG